GAGGTCGGTGCTGCTGCAGATCGGGTACTCCTCGAAGATTAACATGACATCCTCAGCAAATCCTGTGGACACACCAGAGGGGTGAGCATGGAGAAGCCTCCCTGATGAGTTTGTCTGGACCCTGCTGGCCTCTCAGAAGGCTTGATAAGCCCTTTCTGCCCAGGTGACTGCTAAACCCAGCCTTGGGTGGGGGAGCTGGCTGGGAGGATAGAGCCCAGTCAGCCTCAGTCTTAGAGAGCATTGCTTTCCTTTTATCCTTCCACGCATCCCTCTCAGCCTTGCAGGGATGAGTCCACTGGTGGACTTAAAGAGGGCTGGAACCTCTGAGGATTTTAAGGTGGGACATCAGGGCGAGTGTGCCTCTCTATCCAAGCAGCAAGTTTAGGTGCTGATCAGCAGCAGGTGTGACCAAGGGCACGGTGGGCAGTATGTACCTGGGAGGCAGGACTCGGCAATCAGGGTGAAGGGAAGGCCGAGGGGATTGTCCTTGGGGTCTCTGCCCGTGATGTCAATGTAGAGCTGCTCCTCACATGTCCCCTCCTGCCCTGCGAGGCATTCCACTGTGATCATCTGCTGGCCCCAGGGACCGATGGAGCCGGAGCAGGGGGACACCGTGAACATGCCAAGAGTGAGGTGACTCTGCAGAAAAAGGTCCAGGAGAGGCTGATGGCTAACAGCTGTGCCTTGAGCACCCCAGCAAAGAGTTATGTCCTGCCTGGCCCAAGCACCCAGTCCCAGGGCAGGATGGATGACTCCACAGCTCAAAGGCAGCCCCAGGCTGAGAACAACAAACTCAGGAGGAGCTGCAAGCCTGTCCCAAGTGGCAGAAAGGAGTTTGAGTGTAAAGAATGAAGGTGGTAGCTGTGATCCCCAGGCAACATGGAGGTCTTGGTGCAAAACCATTTTCAGCAAGTTTCTGTTCTTGAAAATGTTTTCCAGCTACTTGTTTGCCCTTTCTCTTCTCACTTAAAATATCTGCAGGCTGAGTAGCTAAGGAGCTCAGCTCCCATTTCCTCATTTCCAAGCACAATCATTACAGAAAAATGTAATTCCTGCTGTATGTTCCCCCGACACCCACTGGCAGGTCAATCATAAAATCTTATTATAATTACAGATTAACAAAAGGTTTACAAAACCATCTACAGAATAATTGCTTGATCAGGCAACCTGAAGAGCTCAAAGCATTTCAAACCCCATAAAATTCATTTTCTAAGGGGTGAAGCTGAGATGTGGAGGCGAAAGGTTTACAAAACCATCTACAGAATAATTGCTTGATCAGGCAACCTGAAGAGCTCAAAGCATTTCAAACCCCATAAAATTCATTTTCTAAGGGGTGAAGCTGAGATGTGGAGGGGGACAGAAGTTGCCCCCAAGTCCAAGTGACCTTTGGACTGGCAGCAGCATGCGGCTCTGGCACCAAGGCACCCACTGGGTAGGCACAGCAGCTCCTCCAAGGCTCATTTGCCTCTTATCTGCTCAAGTTCACACCTATGGTCCTTCAAACCCATGTGTCTCCCAGGACTTTGCTGGGGACTGCCCTGGATTGTGCCACCAGGACAGCCTGTCTCTCCAGGCGTGTCCCGAAAAGTACAAGACCCAGCAGGGAGCACGTACCACTCTCTTGATTTCCCACACAGCAGTGGTCCAAAGTGGAATTGCTTTGTGCTCTCAACATATTCCTTGAAGATGACTTCATCTGCCTCCATGGTCTCCCTCCATTGTGGAAACACCAGCCTGGGCAGAGAAAGTGGGGAAGGATATGAGATGCTCCAAGTAGGAAATGCAGTCAGAAAGCCAAAACCCTTCCTGGTGGCTGAGGTACCATCTGCCTTCCAGCTCCCGGCACAGGAAGAGGTTGCCACAGAGGCATCTGCTGGGCGACCTCAGGCAGCACAATGTGCCCAGGCCAGAAGCCCCAAGGGGCAGCCCTGGCTGTGAGTTCAGGGGCAGCAGTGTGGGAGGCTGCCAAGGACCAGCCTTACCGTGGGTTCTGGCAGATGCTGGGGTACAGGCCGGTGCCACTGCAGGGCAGCTCGTACTGGCGCTTCGTCTGCACGAGCTCAAACCTCAGTGTCTGCTCAAACTTCCCTGGCTTTTTGGCGGAGAAGTGCACCTTCAGATCCACCTCACCGTGGGCAGGCACTATCCACCGGTACCGTTTCAGCCTGGCAATTGAAGAGGAGGCTTCAGACATTGCTGAGGAGCAAATGGAACAAGGAGGGTGCGCTCGCCATCCCCCAGCACTGGCACAGGGTCGCTGTGGAGCTGGGGACAATGGACCTTGTTTGGCAAGAGGACCAAGAAGCAGAGGCATCACCTCCTCCCGTGCAGCTCACCTGAGGAATTCTGTAGGGGTTGAGGCACTTTCCCGTGTACTTTTGGATCTTGTTGCAGAGGAATCCCGGGAACTTCCTGTTCTCTGTGTGGAGATCTGCTTCTCCTTTGCAGAGCTGTCTCTGCTGGCTGCTTTACCTGTCTGTGGTTGGCCCTTGGCAGAACTGCCCTTTGCATGTGGGACCTTGGCCTAAGGGGAGAGAGAAAAGGGAGGGAGAGGTAAGCCCTGAGACATCCCCATCCTGGAAAGTAAAATGGGGGTTTGTTCACCAGTGGAAGAGAGAATAAATAAATAAGTCCACCTGCCCATGAACTTGGTCTTCCTTATTGGTGTTTGTTTTGCCTAGGACACCCCTTCTCACTCAGGACTCTCTCCTCAAAGGAAGTTGATGGTTCTAAGTGATTTTTTTGCCTCTTGTCTTACAGAACTGCTCTGTCTCCAGCAGAGCTATCTCTTTTGCCCCATCCCTGACAGAAAGGAGACCTGCAGACATGGGGCCCCATCTCACCTTCACTACCTCTCCACAATGCTCCCTTTCCATCCAACCTGTCCCCCATGCCCCCATCTAGCCTGGTCCCTGTCCTGGCACCTTCAGTGCTGGCACCACTGGAGCACCCACCAGATTGTCTTCCACAGCAGCACCTTCAGGTGCCACAATGGTGAAGGGCTTCACACGCTTTGCAGAGCCCAACCTCTTCTCTGGGTACTCGACTATGGAGAGGACAGCAGCAGGGGGAAGGGGAGGGCCGTCGGGATACAGTCCCAGATGTTTCAGCATCTAAAACAGAAGAGAAAATCCTGCTTATACTTCTGAGACCTTCATCCTCACAACTCCTTCTTTAAAGGCACCGAGCTTTTGGCAGTGGGGTTTTTGACATATATGAAGTACAAGTGCTTTGTTATGCCCAGTGGGGTGAGCAGGCTCCAGAGCAGCTGCAAGAGCTACAAGCCAGACCAAGAGAGAAACCTCTCCTGAGTGACTCAGCTGAAGAAAACAATGACTGTGAGCTGCCCTATCCTGGGACCATTTATAACGATTTCCAGGCTGGGAGACTCTAAACAGATGGGATACTTGTACACAGAGCATTCCCACTTTCTGCCCATCTGAGGGATGGTGATAACCTCCCCATTCACATAGATGCTACAGAGTCATTGTGGAACATCATCAGGGGCCTGGACAAGGCTCTGTGCCATTATCACCTGGGGGGACACAGTGCTCCAGGGCCCATGACCACGGCAAGCTCAAGATCTGAGCCTTGCAGCGTGTTACCTGGTCTTCCGTTGGCAGTTTCCCACCCCTCAGGATCTCCTTAATCATGGCCTTCGGATCTGTGACCTGGATGTCCAGGCATGGCACCCCAACATTCTCGTCTCTGACTGCCCCTTCTGCAACTTTGCTTTGAGTCCCCAGCAGACGTAACTGAAGACTCCTTTGGCCTCCACGTTCGTGTTCAGGCTTCTCCTGAGGCTTACTGGTCTTCTGATCTTTGTTTTCCGCAGAAGGCTGGGACTTGTTTCCCTTTTGGATCACAG